TTCTCAGCCCAAACAGTGACTCACAGGGATCCTTCTCAGCCCAAACAGTGACTCACAGGGATCCTTCTCAGCCCAAACAGTGACTCACAGGGATCCTTCTGATGAGGCCAGAGTCTGATTCAGGACATTTTACTTTTAAATATTATTTCTGTTCAGACAATTATGAATGAGACTGAGTTATGCATGTTTCCACCAGAAGAGGGCAGTAGTGTGGTTCATCTGCCTCTGTTTAATCTGTGTGTGTGTGTGTGTGTGTGTGTGTGTGTCTCTCTCTCTCTGTGTGTCTGTCTCTGTGTGTGTGTGTCTGCCTCTGTCTGTGTGTGTGTGTGTCTCTCTCTGTGTGTGTGTGTCTCTCTCTCTGTGTGTGTGTGTGTGTGTGTGTCTCTGTGTGTGTGTGTGTGTGTGTGTGTGTGTCTGTGTGTCTGTGTGTGTGTCTCTCTCTCTGTGTTTGTGTGTCTGTGTGTGTGTGTGTCTCTCTCTGTGTGTGTGTGTGTGTTTGTGTGTGTGTGTCTCTCTCTCTGTGTGTGTGTGTGTGTCTGTGTGCGTGTCTCTCTCTCTGTGTTTGTGTGTGTGTGTGTGTGTCTCTGTGTGTGTGTGTGTGTGTCTGTGTGTGTGTCTCTCTCTGTGTGTGTGTGTGTGTGTGTCTCTGTGTGTGTGTGTGTGTGTGTGTGTCTGTGTGTCTGTGTGTGTGTCTCTCTCTCTGTGTTTGTGTGTGTGTGTGTGTGTGTCTCTGTGTGTGTGTGTGTTTTAGGGCCCTCCAGGATCTCCAGGATCCAGAGGACAGCGTGGGAACAAAGGACGCCCGGTAACAAACACATGAAGAAGAAACTACAATTAATATAAAAGTATCCAAAACAAACCACACATCTGGGACTCTGCTCCTCACGTGCACTGCCACGTGCACTGCCACGTGCACTGCCACGTGCACTGCCACTATCTCTAACTTAAACATAATAAAGCTAGCATAGAGTAGTCTATTGCTCGGTTGCATTGACGTCACGCCCGCCTCATTACGTATGCGTATCCCGTGGTTACAGAGCTGTTGTTCCCTAGAGCAGTGTGTCTGAATCTGACTTTTGTACGTGTTGTTCTAAGTTTTCTAACCGATGGAATCATGAAACCTTTAATGGATTCTTTAGGATTCCTCATGAAGAGATGAATAAAGAGCCTCGCACTCAGGACTTTATGAAAAGACGCAGGAAAAGTGTCTCTCTAACTTTTCACTGCAAACGCTTTTACCTCTAAGGCAGCCATTCCCAAACTCAGTAACACCGAGGCCCCCTTAAAAATCTGACGGGTCTGCGTGGCCCCCCAAAATAATAACCAAGAAGACAACATTAAGAATAGGCTATTCTGGTTATTTTATTTTGGGGAAATAGCCTCTGCTACAAACATTGTAATACAAAAATGATTACAGTGGATTATTCAAGTCAAATAATGAACACAAATATTTTAATATTAAAAACAAAACATTATACATTTAACATTAAATAATTATATATTTTTTTACTTTTTTTATGACCTCCCGCGGCCCCCCTGCAGTACCCTCGCGGCCCATCAGGGGGCCGCGGACCCCACTTTGGGAGACACTGCTCTAAGGATTATTTATTTACCTCTAAGGATTATTTATTTACCTCTAAGGATTATTTATTTACCTCTAAGGATTATTTATTTACCTCTAAGGATTATTTATTTACCTCTAAGGATTATTTATTTACCTCTAAGGATTATTTATTTACCTCTAAGGATTATTTATTTACCCAGCCGTGCAGTCACAATGTGCAGTTATTATATCCCCATGTTTAATGAACTGTCAAGGATGAGTCTGTGTTTTAGATAAACAGTGAAAAGAGCACAGCCACAGACGCAGAGTTCTGTTGAGATAAGTTCATTCACCGATCGATACTGACACGGCTCTGTACGATGCAGGACGTGTCCTTCAGGAACTTAACTCTGAGTTCTTAAACCCACAGAAAAGTTGCAGTATCTGTTTTTCCAAACCTTCAGTTGTTTAAAGTGCAAAAGCTTGACTGTAACACTAAATAGTTTGAGATATCCGGAACTGAACTGGCGGGTTTTATTTCTAACTCGCAAATCAAATCATTCTTGGATAACGCATTAGGATCATATTAGGGTCTACACCGTTACACAATTTGACTTTTACGATGTATCGATCTCGAGAATTAGAATCTAAAGTGAATAAAAAGACAGTCTAGGATCTTTAATTCAGACAGAATGTTTTATTGTCGATGCAGAACAAAGACGTTACAGAATGTAAGTGACATACAGCGGAGGAATGGACAGGAATGGACACTTATTAGCATCATTAGCATCATTAGCATCATTAGCATCATTAGCATGTTAGCATATTAGCATATTAGCATTTGCCGCGGTGCCAGTAGCTTCAACCTTGATATTACCAAAACATGTCGTGGAAAAATTCTGCCTTGTGCATATTGTTAGAACGATGAGTTAGAACGTTCACCACAGAATCTTCAAAGTGTCATGAAATATCCAAAAAAGCAAAAAAATACTCGGAAGAGTCGCATTTTCTTCACATCAGCAACAACTGCTGACCTGACACCACTTCATTAACCGGAAGTTCATGCGTCACGTGACTGCAACCCAAGAACATTCTTGTGCAGACACATCTAGTTGTATGTTAGCATATTAGCATGTTAGCATATTAGCATATTAGCATGTTAGCATATTAGCATGTTAGCATATTAGCATATTAGCATGTTAGCATATTAGCATGTTAGCATATTAGCATGTTAGCATATTAGCATGTTAGCATATTAGCATGTTAGCATATTAGCATACTCGCGTGTTAGCATATTAGCATATTAGCATGTTAGCATGTTAGCATGTTAGCATATTAGCATGTTAGCATATTAGCATGTTTGCAGCAGGAGGCTCTGGGACACATCTGACTTTATTGTTGTGTGTTCAGGGAATGCGAGGACCTGCAGGTTTTGATGGAGAGCCAGGAGTTCCAGGAAACCCAGGAGAAGCCGGACCCCCAGGACACCCCACCCACCACGGGGTAAGACCCAAGACCCAAGACCAGAGACCAAGACCAGAGAGAAACCAGAGAGAGACCAGAGACAGACCAGAGAGAGACCAGAGAGAGACCAGAGAGAGAGACCAGAGAGAGAGACCAGAGAGAGACCAGAGAGAGAGACCAGAGAGAGAGACCAGAGAGAGAGACCAGAGAGAGAGACCAGAGAGAGAGACCAGAGAGAGAGACCAGAGAGAGAGACCAGAGAGAGAGACCAGAGAGAGAGACCAGAGAGAGACCAGAGAGACCAGAGAGAGACCAGAGAGAGACCAGAGAGAGACCAGAGAGAGAGACCAGAGAGAGAGACCAGAGAGAGAGACCAGAGAGAGAGACCAGAGAGAGACCAGAGAGAGAGACCAGAGAGAGAGACCAGAGAGAGACCAGGAGAGAGCGAGACCAGAGAGAGACCAGAGAGAGACCAGAGAGAGAGACCAGAGAGAGAGACCAGAGAGAGACCAGAGAGAGAGACCAGAGAGAGACCAGAGAGAGAGACCAGAGAGAGAGACCAGAGAGAGAGACCAGAGAGAGACCAGAGAGAGAGACCAGGTGACAAATTCTGGAACATTCTACGGCTCGACCTGCGACAGTTTGACTCTTTGGACATTTTAAAGCCTACACTGTAAAAAAAGACAGTGACATGAACAGACAAATATAAAGTTAGTATGAAAACAATAATCTAATGTTAAAATCACTATAAAAAGATTATTGTTGAAATGACTTTAAATAATCTGTGATTATGTTCAAATGTACGTTAACACATAAAAACAGAAACTTGTGTCAAAATCATTAAAATATTGTTAAATATATATTTTCTTCAGGTTTATTTTTAATGAGTGAAAGAACTTGAAAGAAAATCAAATCGATTGTGAAAATAATGAATAATGAATCTTTAGAACTGAAAATGTGCTTTCACATAATTTAAACAACTTAACAGGAGCTCGGTTTGTAGACCATTAGGCTGAAGGTCATGGGTTCGATCCCCCATGTGTCTGGAACAGCACTTCCACAGTCGGAGAGAAAGGATCAATATTTATTCAATTAGACCAATCTTAGCTTAAATACTCTTTCTTTGGCACGTCTCGATCATGGTTGTTCAAAATAAATATTATTATATGACTTGGATCGGTCGTGCGCTCTGATTGGTTGATTTACAGTCTGACATTTTCCTGTCTCGGACCGTTACCATGACAACGGGTCTGCAGCGAGTATCAGATTTGATATCTTTCCTCGGTAAAACAGAAATTATGAGCGACTGGGAGCATTCTCAGTGAATTCTATCATCAGGACGAGTTGGAAGAGCCAGAGGAAGTAATAACAGCAAATAACCACCAAAACACAACTCCAACAGTCAAGAAGAGATCGACAACTTGGTTACAGACCAGAAAGGTAAAACCAGGACCAGGAAAACCAGAAAGGTAAAACCAGGAGCAGGAAAACCAAGTGGGACATGAACATCACAGATATGTAAAAAGCATTGGTAAAGACACAGACTGAGAACTTACAGCGGGCGCCTCAATCCTCTGTTCTTCATGTCACAGTTTGACACTTTGGTCAAATGTGTTTTTACTTCAAACCCATCGTACCTCGGTCTGTGCCTCGGTCTGTGCCTCGGTCTGTACCTCGGTCTGTGCCTCGGTCTGTGCCTCGGTCTGTACCTCGGTCTGTAGGTCTGTACCTGGGTCTGTGCCTGGGTCTGTGCCTCGGTCTGTGCCTCGGTCTGTGCCTCGGTCTGTACCTCGGTCTGTAGGTCTGTACCTCGGTCTGTGCCTGGGTCTGTGCCTCGGTCTGTGCCTCGGTCTGTGCCTCGGTCTGTGCCTCGGTCTGTGCCTCGGTCTGTGCCTCGGTCTGTGCCTCGGTCTGTACCTCGGTCTGTACCTCGGTCTGTACCTCGGTCTGTGCCTCGGTCTGTACCTCGGTCTGTACCTCGGTCTGTACCTCGGTCTGTGCCTCGGTCTGTACCTCGGTCTGTACCTCGGTCTGTGCCTCGGTCTGTGCCTCGGTCTGTACCTCGGTCTGTACCTCGGTCTGTGCCTCGGTCTGTGCCTCGGTCTGTAGGTCTGTACCTCGGTCTGTGCCTCGGTCTGTGCCTCGGTCTGTGCCTCGGTCTGTGCCTCGGTCTGTTCCTCGGTCTGTGCCTCGGTCTGTGCCTCGGTCTGTGCCTCGGTCTGTACCTCGGTCTGTGCCTCGGTCTGTACCTCGGTCTGTGCCTCGGTCTGTACCTCGGTCTGTACCTCGGTCTGTGCCTCGGTCTGTGCCTCGGTCTGTACCTCGGTCTGTGCCTCGGTCTGTAGGTCTGTACCTCGGTCTGTGCCTCGGTCTGTGCCTCGGTCTGTGCCTCGGTCTGTACCTCGGTCTGTACCTCGGTCTGTGCCTGGGTCTGTGCCTCGGTCTGTGCCTCGGTCTGTACCTCGGTCTGTGCCTCGGTCTGTACCTCGGTCTGTGCCTCGGTCTGTACCTCGGTCTGTGCCTCGGTCTGTGCCTCGGTCTGTGCCTCGGTCTGTACCTCGGTCTGTGCCTCGGTCTGTGCCTCGGTCTGTGCCTCGGTCTGTACCTCGGTCTGTACCTCGGTCTGTACCTCGGTCTGTGCCTCGGTCTGTGCCTCGGTCTGTACCTCGGTCTGTGCCTCGGTCTGTGCCTCGGTCTGTAGGTCTGTACCTCGGTCTGTAGGTCTGTGCCTCGGTCTGTGCCTCGGTCTGTGCCTCGGTCTGTAGGTCTGTACCTCGGTCTGTCCCTCGGTCTGTACCTCGGTCTGTGCCTCGGTCTGTGCCTCGGTCTGTGCCTCGGTCTGTAGGTCTGTGCCTCGGTCTGTACCTCGGTCTGTAGGTCTGTGCCTCGGTCTGTACCTCGGTCTGTACCTCGGTCTGTGCCTCGGTCTGTGCCTCGGTCTGTAGGTCTGTACCTCGGTCTGTGCCTCGGTCTGTGCCTCGGTCTGTACCTCGGTCTGTACCTCGGTCTGTGCCTCGGTCTGTGCCTCGGTCTGTGCCTCGGTCTGTACCTCGGTCTGTAGGTCTGTACCTCGGTCTGTACCTCGGTCTGTACCTCGGTCTGTGCCTCGGTCTGTGCCTCGGTCTGTAGGTCTGTACCTCGGTCTGTGCCTCGGTCTGTGCCTCGGTCTGTACCTCGGTCTGTACCTCGGTCTGTGCCTCGGTCTGTACCTCGGTCTGTGCCTCGGTCTGTAGGTCTGTACCTCGGTCTGTACCTCGGTCTGTGCCTCGGTCTGTACCTCGGTCTGTGCCTCGGTCTGTACCTCGGTCTGTGCCTCGGTCTGTACCTCGGTCTGTGCCTCGGTCTGTGCCTCGGTCTGTACCTCGGTCTGTAGGTCTGTACCTCGGTCTGTGCCTCGGTCTGTACCTCGGTCTGTACCTCGGTCTGTGCCTCGGTCTGTACCTCGGTCTGTAGGTCTGTACCTCGGTCTGTGCCTCGGTCTGTACCTCGGTCTGTACCTCGGTCTGTGCCTCGGTCTGTACCTCGGTCTGTAGGTCTGTACCTCGGTCTGTGCCTCGGTCTGTGCCTCGGTCTGTGCCTCGGTCTGTACCTCGGTCTGTGCCTCGGTCTGTGCCTCGGTCTGTACCTCGGTCTGTGCCTCGGTCTGTGCCTCGGTCTGTGCCTCGGTCTGTGCCTCGGTCTGTAGGTCTGTACCTCGGTCTGTGCCTCGGTCTGTACCTCGGTCTGTGCCTCGGTCTGTACCTCGGTCTGTGCCTCGGTCTGTGCCTCGGTCTGTGCCTCGGTCTGTGCCTCGGTCTGTACCTCGGTCTGTAGGTCTGTACCTCGGTCTGTACCTCGGTCTGTACCTCGGTCTGTGCCTCGGTCTGTGCCTCGGTCTGTAGGTCTGTACCTCGGTCTGTACCTCGGTCTGTGCCTCGGTCTGTGCCTCGGTCTGTGCCTCGGTCTGTAGGTCTGTACCTCGGTCTGTAGGTCTGTGCCTCGGTCTGTACCTCGGTCTGTGCCTCGGTCTGTGCCTCGGTCTGTGCCTCGGTCTGTGCCTCGGTCTGTGCCTCGGTCTGTACCTCGGTCTGTGCCTCGGTCTGTGCCTCGGTCTGTGCCTCGGTCTGTGCCTCGGTCTGTGCCTCGGTCTGTACCTCGGTCTGTGCCTCGGTCTGTGGGTCTGTGCCTCGGTCTGTGCCTCGGTCTGTGCCTCGGTCTGTGCCTCGGTCTGTGCCTCGGTCTGTACCTCGGTCTGTGCCTCGGTCTGTACCTCGGTCTGTACCTCGGTCTGTGCCTCGGTCTGTACCTCGGTCTGTGCCTCGGTCTGTGCCTCGGTCTGTACCTCGGTCTGTGCCTCGGTCTGTGCCTCGGTCTGTACCTCGGTCTGTGCCTCGGTCTGTGCCTCGGTCTGTACCTCGGTCTGTGCCTCGGTCTGTGCCTCGGTCTGTGCCTCGGTCTGTAGGTCTGTACCTCGGTCTGTACCTCGGTCTGTGCCTCGGTCTGTACCTCGGTCTGTGCCTCGGTCTGTACCTCGGTCTGTGCCTCGGTCTGTACCTCGGTCTGTGCCTCGGTCTGTACCTCGGTCTGTACCTCGGTCTGTGCCTCGGTCTGTACCTCGGTCTGTGCCTCGGTCTGTGCCTCGGTCTGTACCTCGGTCTGTGCCTCGGTCTGTGCCTCGGTCTGTGCCTCGGTCTGTGCCTCGGTCTGTGCCTCGGTCTGTACCTCGGTCTGTGCCTCGGTCTGTGCCTCGGTCTGTAGGTCTGTGCCTCGGTCTGTGCCTCGGTCTGTACCTCGGTCTGTGCCTCGGTCTGTACCTCGGTCTGTGCCTCGGTCTGTACCTCGGTCTGTAGGTCTGTGCCTCGGTCTGTGCCTCGGTCTGTGCCTCGGTCTGTACCTCGGTCTGTGCAGAAAGACCTGGGGCTCGTTTAATAAGTCGTTATTATGGCCTATGTTTCATTTGTTCTAATGAGTTTAATACAAATGTTTAATCCTGACATGACACGAGAAACAAATAAAGTAAATGTAATAAAGTTTAAAAACCACAACTTTATATATTTATATTTATCGGTCACATAAACCACAGTCTAATCACAGGAAACATGGGTCAAAATACAACTAATACTAAAGTACTAAAAACATGTCCAATAGGTCTGTGCCTCGGTCTGTGCCTCCTGGCCCCGCCCCTCTCTGTGTGCAGTCACAGACAAGTGCCCAAAAATAATAACAAACCGCTTTGAGACTCAGATCTGCAGTGAAAAGGCGGTATATAAATAAACATTACTTACTAAAGATTACAAAAACAATACTTTTTCAGACTTAATTTAACACATTATTTGATCATGTTTTGTTCACATTTAAACTTAATATATTGTTATTATATATATGTTTTAGTTTCATGTTTTACAGCAGACATTTGTTCTTGTCGTTTAACAGATGCTTTGCTCTTTATGACCAGATTCTTACAGATTTTATTTTTTGTTGCTTCCATTTAAGGTTTTCATCAATAATAACTCCTACAAATGTATTTCAGAAACTCTTTAGATTTGAACATTAAACTATAAGTCAGTGTTTAACAACGAGAACTTGGTTTTCTCACGTTTAAGGAGAGTTTGTTCGCAGTAAACCTTTTCTTTTTCAATCGTATCAATTAAAGTTCTTATAAGTTAAGTCCATGAACAAAATACATTTGTGTCATCTGCAAATATTGCAAAACTTAATATTTTAGACACATCACAAAAGTCATTTATACCAAATGAAAAATGTTGGCCCCAAAACAGACCCTTGTGGTGATGCAGAGGCTGTGATGGTGCAGAGGCTGTGGTGGTGCAGAGGCTGTGATGGTGCAGAGGCTGTGATGGTGCAGAGGCTGTGATGGTGCAGAGGCTGTGGTGGTGCAGAGGCTGTGATGGTGCAGAGGCTGTAGGTGCAGAGGCTGTGATGGTGCAGAGGCTGTGGTGGTGCAGAGGGCGTAGGTGCAGAGGCTGTGATGGTGCTGAGGCTGTGGTGGTGCAGAGGCTGTGATGGTGCAGAGGCTGTGATGGTGCAGAGGCTGTGACGGTGCAGAGGCTGTGACGGTGCAGAGGCTGTGGTGGTGCAGAGGCTGTGACGGTGCAGAGGCTGTAGGTGCAGAGGCTGTAGGTGCAGAGGCTGTGATGGTGCAGAGGCTGTGGTGGTGCAGAGGCTGTGATGGTGCAGAGGCTGTAGGTGCAGAGGCTGTGATGGTGCAGAGGCTGTGGTGGTGCAGAGGCTGTAGGTGCAGAGGCTGTGATGGTGCAGAGGCTGTGATGGTGCAGAGGCTGTGATGGTGCAGAGGCTGTGGTGGTGCAGAGGCTGTAGGTGCAGAGGCTGTAGGTGCAGAGGCTGTGATGGTGCTGAGGCTGTGGTGGTGCAGAGGCTGTGACGGTGCAGAGGCTGTGACGGTGCAGAGGCTGTGACGGTGCAGAGGCTGTAGGTGCAGAGGGTGTAGGTGCAGAGGCTGTGGTGGTGCAGAGGCTGTAGGTGCAGAGGCTGTAGGTGCAGAGGCTGGCTGTGATGGTGTAGAGGCTGTGATGGTGCAGAGGCTGTGATGGTGCAGAGGCTGTGACGGTGCAGAGGCTGTGACGGTGCAGAGGCTGTGATGGTGCAGAGGCTGTGATGGTGCAGAGGCTGTGATGGTGCTGAGGCTGTGGTGGTGCAGAGGCTGTGACGGTGCAGAGGCTGTGATGGTGCAGAGGCTGTGACGGTGCAGAGGCTGTGACGGTGCAGAGGCTGTGGTGGTGCAGAGGCTGTGACGGTGCAGAGGCTGTGATGGTGCAGAGGCTGTGATGGTGCAGAGGCTGTAGGTGCAGAGGCTGTGGTGGTGCAGAGGCTGTAGGTGCAGAGGCTGTGATGGTGCAGAGGCTGTGACGGTGCAGAGGCTGTGACGGTGCAGAGGCTGTAGGTGCAGAGGCTGTGATGGTGCAGAGGCTGTGATGGTGCAGAGGCTGTGACGGTGCAGAGGCTGTGATGGTGCAGAGGCTGTGATGGTGCAGAGGCTGTAGGTGCAGAGGCTGTGATGGTGCAGAGGCTGTAGGTGCAGAGGCTGTGATGGTGCAGAGGCTGTGATGGTGCAGAGGCTGTGATGGTGCAGAGGCTGTGATGGTGCAGAGGCTGATGGTGCAGAGGCTGTGATGGTGCAGAGGCTGTAGGTACAGAGGCTCTGGACCTGTTTCTCCTAAAGCCATATTCTCATTTAACAGAAGAAATCTTTCAACAAACTTGTCAAATCTATCGATAAAAAGCTTCTCTAGTGTTTTATAAAATTGGGTCGACAGTTCGTCAGACTCTGCTTTCACCAGAATTAAAGATGAGGATTATTACTGATCTGTGGTTTGTTTGGTGAAGTTAGAGATGTGTGGTTTGTTTGGTGAAGTTAGAGATGTGTGGTTTGTTTGGTGAAGTTAGAGATGTGTGGTTTGTTTGGTGAAGTTAGAGATGTGTGGTTTGTTCGGTGAAGTTAGAGATGTGTGGTTTGTTTGGTGAAGTTAGAGATGTGTGGTTTGTTTGGTGAAGTTAGAGATGTGTGGTTTGTTTGGTGAAGTTAGAGATGTGTGGTTTGTTTGGTGAAGTTAGAGATGTGTGGTTTGTTTGGTGAAGTTAGAGATGTGTGGTTTGTTCGGTGAAGTTAGAGATGTGTGGTTTGTTTGGTGAAGTTAGAGATGTGTGGTTTGTTCGGTGAAGTTAGAGATGTGTGGTTTGTTCGGTGAAGTTAGAGATGTGTGGTTTGTTCGGTGAAGTTAGAGATGTGTGGTTTGTTTGGTGAAGTTAGAGATGTGTGGTTTGTTTGGTGAAGTTAGAGATCTGTGGTTTGTTTGGTGAAGTTAGAGATCTGTGGTTTGTTTGGTGAAGTTAGAGATGTGTGGTTTGTTTGGTGAAGTTAGAGATGTGTGGTTTGTTTGGTGAAGTTAGAGTTAGTTAGACGTTAACCCGGGCGTCTCGTCATGTTTTGGTTTTTCTTTAGCTTTATAAACATCGTTCTTAAATGTCCTTCATGTTTTCTCATTCTTTGTCATTTCACATGAATAAATTATAAACACTCTTTACTGCTTCAGAAGAACAAGTGCAGCCACAAATGTGCAAAATCTACAACAAAACTTCAACACAATCTGCTGCATCTGCTCAGAGCTGCGAGTGCAAAGGCTCATGGGGGATCAAGCTGATGTGAACCATGAGTGAGGCTGAACAACAGAATAAGTCTCTTTAACAATGTGACCGAGTAGATACCGACAGAACTCACCGGAGGAACTCACCCGCAGTGTTCCGGCACCTTCCACGTTACAGATTAAGCTCTGTCTCTCCCACAGATGTCTTAGAGTGGCAGAACGCACAGATTATATTCTACAGTCTACCTTTTTAAACTGGCTTATTCTTTGAATTTTTATAATGTGTTATATTCTGTACTTTTAATATTGTGTGATGTTTTTTAACATATTGTAAAGTGTCCTTGGGTGTCCTGAAAGGTTCCATGAAACAAAATGAATTATTATTATTAAATGTCTCTGAAAAAGTGAGTGTTGATTGTTTTGGTGCTGTTTCAGAACCTCGGAGCCAACATGGCCTCAGGCTTCGACGGCAAAAACAGTCCCCAGGGAATGCTGACGGGATCCAGGGTCAGTGTCACAGACTCGTCATAGGTTCAAAACTACTCAGACTAAAACATCATCCTGTGTTTGTGTCTCAGGGAGAAGCCGGAGCCAGAGGAGCCCCAGGACCCAACGGATCTCCAGTGAGTCCAGGACTTAGAGACTGCTGTAAATACTGACTCTGCCAGACCAGATGGTGGCGCTGTGACGCACTGGGGTCAGGGACGGACCTATGTGGAGGGATTTAATGGAAACGTCCTCTCCCCTCTCTTACTGGTCTTATTCTGGTCTCCCTCTGGTCTCTCTCTGGTCTCTCTCTGGTCTCTCTCTGGTCTCTCTCTAGTCTCTCTCTGGTCTCTCTCTGGTCTCTCTCTGGTCTTCCTCTGGTCTCTCTCTGGTCTCTCTCTGGTCTCCCTCTGGTCTCTCTCTGGTCTCTCTCTAGTCTCTCTCTGGTCTCTCTCTGGTCTCTCTCTGGTCTTCCTCTGGTCTCTCTCTGGTCTCTCTCTGGTCTCTTTCTGGTCTCTCTCTCTGGTCTCTCTCTGGTCTCTTTCTGGTCTCTCTCTCTGGTCTCTCTCTCTGGTCTCTCGCTGGTCTCTCTCTCTGGTCTCTCTCTGGTCTCTTTCTGGTCTCTCTCTCTGGTCTCTCTCTCTGGTCTCTCGCTGGTCTCTCTCTCTGGTCTCTCTCTGGTCTCTCTCTCTGGTCTCTCTCTGGTCTCTCTCTGGTCTCTCTCTGGTCTCTCTCTGGTCTCTCTCTCTGGTCTCTCTCTCTGGTCTCTCTCTGATCTCTCCCTGGTCTCTCTCTCTGGTCTCTCTCTCTGGTCTCTCTCTGGTCTCTCCCTGGTCTCTCTCTCTGGTCTCTCTCTGGTCTCTCTCTCTGGTCTCTCTCTCTGGTCTCTCCCTGGTCTCTCTCTCTGGTCTCTCTCTGGTCTCTCTCTCTGGTCTCTCTCTGGTCTCTCTCTCTGGTCTCTCTCTCTGGTCTCTCCCTGTCTCTCTCTGGTCTCTCTCTGGTCTCTCTCTCTGGTCTCTCTCTCTGGTCTCTCCCTGGTCTCTCTCTCTGGTCTCTCTCTGGTCTCTCTCTCTGGTCTCTCTCTCTGGTCTCTCCCTGGTATCTCTCTGGTCTCTCTCTGGTCTCTCTCTCTGGTCTCTCTCTGGTCTCTCTCTGGTCTCTCTCTGGTCTCTCTCGGGTCTCTCTCTCTGGTCTCTCTCTGGTCTCTCTCTGGTCTCTCTCTGGTCTCTCTCTCTGGTCTCTCCCTGGTCTCTCTCTCTGGTCTCTCTCTGGTCTCTCTCTCTGGTCTCTCTCTCTGGTCTCTCCCTGGTATCTCTCTGGTCTCTCTCTGGTCTCTCTCTCTGGTCTCTCTCTGGTCTCTCTCTGGTCTCTCTCGGGTCTCTCTCTCTGGTCTCTCTCTGGTCTCTCTCTGGTCTCTCTCTCTGGTCTCTCTCTCTGGTCTCTCTCTGGTCTCTCCCTGTCTCTCTCTGATTGTTTTTTGTGTTTTAGGGTCAAGCTGGACCTCAGGGAGCTCCTGGAGATGTGGGGGATCCCGGACACATGGTGCGACTCTTGAGTTTCAAACATTTTTATGAACAAATCACTAACGTCATGTTTTATACCATTAGAACCGAGCGGTCCATTCTGCTCAACCTTGGACTGGTCTTGGACTGGTCCTGGACCGGTTCCCGTAGCCTCTCACTGTTAGCATTAGCCTTTGCTATAGTTCAGTTTAATTCTATAGTTTTTCTCATAAAAGTGAAAATAAGACAAACTAAAGTCTATGTTTTTGTTTACAATAGTTTTCTTATTTTTTTTCTCTACGTTGATAAATAAGCAAATGTTTTTAAACCAGAGTGTTTGTGTTTAGGGCCCGTCTGGTCAGAGAGGCCCCGAGGGACCTCCTGGAAAACCTGGGGAAGACGTGAGTGTAACACACACCTCTCAGAACGCTCTGATCTGTGACATCATCAACTGTGACATCATCGACTCTGTGACATCATAGACTCTGTGACATCATCGACTCTGTGACATCATCGACTCTATGACATCATAGACTCTGTGACATCATAGACTGTGACATCATAGACTCTATGACATCATCGACTCTATGACATCATAGACTCTGTGACATCATAGACTCTGAGACATCATAGACTGTGACATCATCGACTCTATGACATCATAGACTGTGACATCATAGACTGTGACATCATAGACTCTGTGACATCATAGACTCTGTGACATCATAGACTGTGACATCATCGACTCTATGACATCATAGACTCTGTGACATCATCGACTCTGTGACATCATAGACTCTGTGACATCATAGACTCTGTGACATCATAGACTGTGACATCATAGACTGTGACATCATCGACTCTATGACATCATAGACTCTGTGACATCATAGACTGTGACATCATCGACTCTATGACATCATCGACTCTGTGACATCATAGACTCTGTGACATCATAGACTCTGTGACATCATAGACTGTGACATCATCGACTGTGACATCATAGACTGTGACATCATAGACTGTGACATCATAGACTGTGACATCATAGACTGTGACATCATAGACTCAGTGACATCATAGACTGTGACATCATAGACTCTGTGACATCATAGACTCTGTGACATCATAGACTGTGACATCATAGACTCTGTGACATCATAGACTGTGACATCATAGACTCTGTGACATCATAGACTGTGACATCATAGACTGTGACATCATAGACTGTGACATCATAGACTCTGTGACATCATAGACTCTGTGACATCATAGACTGTGACATCATAGACTCTGTGACATCATAGACTGTGACATCATAGACTGTGACATCATAGACTCTGTGACATCATAGACTGTGACATCATAGACTGTGACATCATAGACTGTGACATCATAGACTCTGTGACATCATAGACTCTGTGACATCATAGACTGTGACATCATAGACTCTGTGACATCATAGACTGTGACATCATAGACTCTGTGACATCATAGACTGTGACATCATAGACTTTGTGACATCATAGACTGTGACATCATAGACTGTCTGTGACATCATAGACTCTGTGACATCATAGACTGTGACATCATCGACTCTATGACATCATAGACTCTGTGACATCATAGACTGTGACATCATAGACTCTGTGACATCATAGACTGTGACATCATAGACTCTGTGACATCATAGACTGTGACATCATAGACTGTGTGACATCATAGACTGTGACATCATAGACTGTGACATCATAGACTCTGTGACATCATAGACTGTGTGTGACATCATAGACTCTGTGACATCATAGACTGTGACATCATAGACTCTGTGACATCATAGACTGTGACATCATAGACTGTGACATCATAGACTCTGTGACATCATAGACTGTGACATCATAGACTGTGACATCATAGACTCTGTGACATCATAGACTGTGACATCATAGACTCTGTGACATCATAGACTGTGACATCATAGACTTTGTGACATCATAGACTGTGACATCATAGACTGTCTGTGACATCATAGACTCTGTGACATCATAGACTGTGACATCATCGACTCTATGACATCATAGACTCTGTGACATCATAGACTGTGACATCATAGACTCTGTGACATCATAGACTGTGACATCATAGACTCTGTGACATCATAGACTGTGACATCATAGACTCTGTGACATCATAGACTGTGTGACATCATAGACTGTGACATCATAGACTCTGTGACATCATAGACTGTGACATCATAGACTCTGTGACATCATAGACTGTGTGTGACATCATAGACTCTGTGACATCATAGACTGTGACATCATAGACTGTCTGTGACATCATAGACTCTGTGACATCATAGACTGTGTGTGACATCATAGACTCTGTGACATCATAGACTGTGACATCATAGACTGTCTGTGGTCTGTGGAGATGCTTACATTGGGGGCTGTAGTTCACTTTGTCACCTGCAGAGGGCGGCCCAGGTCACAACATATGTTTTATACACAGACAGTATTAATGTGTGTTTAATGGAATACTGTGTTTGCTAAAGATAAAAACCAAAATGAAATGTTCATGTTTAAAGTGAAAGTGGTTTGAATAAAGTTTATGGAATATCAGTGGGTCTAAGGCACCGCCCCCCCCCCCCCCCTCACACTGTGGAGCCCCCCTCACACTGTGGAGCCCCCTCACACTGTGGAGCCCCCTCACACTGTGGAGCCCCCTCACACTGTGGAGCCCCCCTCACACTGTGGAGCCCCCTCACACTGTGGAGCCCCCTCACACTGTGGAGCCCCCTCACACTGTGGAGCCCCCTCACACTGTGGAGCCCCCTCACACTGTGGAGCCCCCTCACACTGTGGAGCCCCCTCACACTGTGGAGCCCCCTCACACTGTGGAGCCCCCCCCCTCACACTGTGGAGCCCCCTCACACTGTGGAGCCCCCTCACACTGTGGAGCCCCCTCACACTGTGGAGCCCCCTCACACTGTGGAGCCCCTCACACTGTGGAGCCCCCTCACACTGTGGAGCCCCCTCACACTGTGGAGCCCCCCTCACACTGTGGAGCCCCCCCCCCCTACACTGTGGAGCCCCCCTCACACTGTGGAGCCCCCTCACACTGTGGAGCCCCCCTCACACTGTGGAGCCCCCTCACACTGTGGAGCCCCCTCACACTGTGGAGCCCCCTCACACTGTGGAGCCCCCTCACACTGTGGAGCCCCCCTCACACTGTGGAGCCCCCTCACACTGTGGAGCCCCCCTCACACTGTGGAGCCCCCCTCACACTGTGGAGCCCCCTCACACTGTGGAGCCCCCTCACACTGTGGAGCCCCCCTCACACTGTGGAGCCCCCCTCACACTGTGGAGCCCCCCTCACACTGTGGAGCCCCCCTCACACTGTGGAGCCCCCTCACACTGTGGAGCCCCCCTCACACTGTGGAGGCCCCCTCACACTGTGGAGCCCCCCTCACACTGTGGAGCCCCCTCACACTGTGGAGGCCCCTCACACTGTGGAGCCCCCCCCCCCCTCACACTGTGAATATTCTCTTTATTCTGATTTCAGGGAGAAGCAGGAACATCAGGAAACCCCGGAGAGAAAGGCTTCCCCGGATCAGCCGTGAGAGATTTGGAATGATGTGTATTAGCATTAGCATTAGCATTAGCATTAGCATATGTTAGCAAACATTAGCTTATGTGTGCGTAATTATACTTTAACATTAGATATGTTTAGGTACATTAGCATACATGTGCTTACATTAGCATACATGTGCTTACATTAGCATACAGGTGCTTACATTAGCATACAGGTGCTGACATTAGCATACAGGTGCTTACATTAGCATACAGGTGCTTACATTAGCATACAGGTGCTTACATTAGCATACAGGTGCTTACATTAGCATACAGGTGCTTACATTAGCATGTATGTAGGTATATTAGCTTATATTGAAATGACCATGTTTGGGACATGATCATGTATGTACGCACAGTAGCATCTATAGTAGCACAGTAGCATCTATAGTAGCACAGTAGCATCTATAGTAGCACAGTAGCACAGTAGCATCTATAGTAGCACAGTAGCATCTATAGTAGCACAGTAGCACAGTAGCATCTATAGTAGCACAGTAGCATCTATAGTAGCACAGTAGCACAGTAGCATCTATGTACGCACAGTAGCATCTATAGTAGCACAGTAGCATCTATAGTAGCACAGTAGCATCTATAGTAGCACAGTAGCACAGTAGCATCTATAGTAGCACAGTAGCATCTATAGTAGCACAGTAGCATCTATAGTAGCACAGTAGCACAGTAGCATCTATAGTAGCACAGTAGCACAGTAGCATCTATAGTAGCACAGTAGCATCTATAGTAGCACAGTAGCACAGTAGCATCTATAGTAGCACAGTAGCATCTATAGTAGCACAGTAGCATCTATAGTAGCACAGTAGCATCTATAGTAGCACAGTAGCATCTATAGTAGCACAGTATCATCTATAGTAGCACAGTAGCACAGTAGCACAGTAGCACAGTAGCACAGTAGCATCTATAGTAGCACAGTAGCATCTATAGTAGCACAGTAGCACAGTAGCACAGTAGCACAGTAGCATCTATAGTAGCACAGTAGCATCTATAGTAGCACAGTAGCATCTATAGTAGCACAGTAGCACATCTATAGTAGCACAGTAGCACAGTAGCACAGTAGCATCTATAGTAGCACAGTAGCATCTATAGTAGCACAGTAGCATCTATAGTAGCACAGTAGCACAGTAGCACAGTAGCACATCTATAGTAGCACAGTAGCACAGTAGCACAGTAGCACATGTGTATCTATAGTAGCACAGTAGCATCTATAGTAGCACAGTAGCAAAGTAGCACAGTAGCATCTATAGTAGCACAGTAGCACAGTAGCACAGTAGCACATGTGTATCTATAGTAGCACAGTAGCACAGTAGCACATCTATAGTAGCACAGTAGCACAGTAGCACATCTATAGTAGCACAGTAGCACAGTAGCACAGTAGCACAGTAGCACATCTATAGTAGCACAGTAGCACAGTAGCACAGTAGCACATATATAGTAGCACAGTAGCACAGTAGCACAGTAGCACATCTATAGTAGCACAGTAGCACAGTAGCACATCTATAGTAGCACAGTAGCACAGTAGCACATCTATAGTAGCACAGTAGCACAGTAGCACAGTAGCACATCTATAGTAGCACAGTAGCACAGTAGCACAGTAGCACATCTATAGTAGCACAGTAGCACAGTAGCACATCTATAGTAGCACAGTAGCACAGTAGCACATCTATAGTAGCACAGTAGCACAGTAGCACAGTAGCACATATATAGTAGCACAGTAGCACAGTAGCACAGTAGCACATCTATAGTAGCACAGTAGCACAGTAGCACATCTATAGTAGCACAGTAGCACAGTAGCACAGTAGCACATCTATAGTAGCACAGTAGCACAGTAGCACATCTATAGTAGCACAGTAGCACATGTGTATCTATAGTAGCACAGTGTACGTACATTAGCATATACTAATATTAGCATTAGACTGGTGTTAAGGTTGTGCTGGTCCTCAGGGATCGCGGGGGTTTCCTGGTACACCTGGACCTCCAGGACTCAAAGGACACAGAGTGAGTAACGACAAGATTCTACCAAATATTTAACATTTTATTAAAACTCGTCTGAAACTCATTCTTCTGTTGATGATTCTGTGATTAAAGGGACACGGAGGACTACAGGGACAGAAGGGAGAGACCGGCACTCTGGGATCAAAGGTACAAGGAAGGAAACTAGTTTAAGGATCAAAGGTACAAGGAAGGAAACTAGTTTAAGGATCAAAGGTACAAGGAAGGAAACTAGTTTAAGGATCAAAGGTACAAGGAAGGAAACTAGTTTAAGGATCAAAGGTACAAGGAAGGAAACTAGTTTAAGGATCAAAGGTACAAGGAAGGAAACTAGTTTAAGGATCAAAGGTACAAGGAAGGAAACTAGTTTAAGGATCAAAGGTACAAGGAAGGAAACTAGTTTAAGGATCAAAGGTACAAGGAAGGAAACTAGTTTAAGGATCAAAGGTACAAGGAAGGAAACTAGTTTAAGGATCAAAGGTACAAGGAAGGAAACTAGTTTAAAATGAGATTAACCTGATAACAAGTCAGTGGACTAAAGCTGGAGTACGTAACTTTATGCATTTGTCATTTAAAAATATCTGTGTACATCTCTCTGGTCTCTCTCTGGTCTCTCTGGTCTCTCTCTGGTCTCTCTCTCTGGTCTCTCTCTGGTCTCTCTCTGGTCTCTCTCTGGTCTCTCTCTGGTCTCTCTCTGGTCTCACTCTCTGGTTTCTCTCTAGTCTCTCTCTAGTCTCTCTCTGGTCTCCCTCTGGTCTCTCTCTGGTCTCCCTCTGGTCTCTCTCTGGTCTCTCTCTGGTCTCTCTCTGGTCTCTCTCTGGTCTCTCTCTCTGGTCTCTCTCTGGTCTCTCTCTGGTCTCTCTCTGGTCTCTCTCTGGTCTCTCTCTCTGGTCTCTCTCTGGTCTCTCTCTCTGGTCTCTCTCTGGTCTCTCTGGTCTCTCTCTGGTCTCTCTCTGGTCTCTCTCTGGTCTCTCTCTCTGGTCTCTCTCTGGTCTCTCTCTCTGGTCTCTCTGATCTCTCACTGGTCTCTCTCTGGTCTCTCTCTGGTCTCTCTCTGGTCTCTCTCTGGTCTCTCTCTGGTCTCTCTCTTGGTCTCTCTCTCTGGTCTCTCTCTCTGGTCTCTCTCTGGTCTCTCTCTCTGGTCTCTCTCTGGTCTCTCTCTGGTCTCTCTCTCTGGTCTCTCTCTGGTCTCTCTCTCTGGTCTCTCTCTGGTCTCTCTCTGGTTCTCTGGTCTCTTGGTCTCTCTCTGGTGTCTCTCTGGTCTCTCTCTGGTCTCTCTCTGGTCTCTCTCTCTGGTCTCTCTCTCTGGTCTCTCTCTCTGGTCTCTCTCTGGTCTCTCTCTGGTCTCTCTCTGGTCTCTCTCTGGTCTCTCTGATCTCTCATTGGTCTCTCTCTGGTCTGTCTCTGGTCTCTCTCTGGTCTCTCTCTGGTCTCTCTCTGGTCTCTCTCTCTGGTCTCTCTCTGGTCTCTCTCTGGTCTCTCTCTCTGGTCTCTCTCTTGTCTCTCTCTGGTCTCTCTCTCTGGTCTCTCTCTGGTCTCTCTCGGTCTCTCTCTGGTCTCTCTCTGGTCTCTCTCTGGTCTCTCTCTGGTCTCTCTGGTCTCTCTCTGGTCTCTCTCTGGTCCCTCTCTGGTCCCTCTCTGGTCCCTCTCTGGTCCCTCTCTGGTCTCTCTCTGGTCTCTCTCTGGTCTCTCTCTCTGGTCTCTCTCTGGTCTCTCTCTCTGGTCTCTCTCTGGTCTCTCTCTGGTCCCTCTCTGGTCTCTCTCTGGTCTCTCTCTGGTCTCTCTCTGGTCTCTCTCTGGTCTCTCTCTGGTCTCTCTCTGGTCTCTCTCTCTGGTCTCTCTCTGGTCTCTCTCTGGTCTCTCTCTGGTCTCTCTCGGTCTCTCTCTGGTCTCTCTCGGTCTCTCTCTGTTCTCTCTCTCTCTGTCTCTCTCTCTGGTCTCTCTCTGGTCTCTCTCTGGTCTCTCTCTGGTCTCTCTCTGGTCTCTCTCTGGTCTCTCTCTGGTCTCTCTCTGGTCTCTCTCTGGTCTCTCTCTGGTCTCTCTCTGGTCTCTCTCTGGTCTCTCTCTGGTCTCTCTCTGGTCTCTCTCGTCTCTCTCTGGTCTCTCTCTGGTCTCTCTCTGGTCTCTCTCTGGTCTCTCTCTGGTCTCTCTCTGGTCTCTCTCTGGTCTCTCTCTGGTCTCTCTCTGGTCTCTCTCTGGTCTCTCTCTGGTCTCTCTCTGGTCTCTCTCTGGTCTCTCTCTGGTCTCTCTCTGGTCTCTCTCTGGTCTCTCTCTGGTCTCTCTCTGGTCTCTCTCTGGTCTCTCTCTGGTCTCTCTCTGGTCTCTCTCTGGTCTCTCTCTGGTCTCTCTCTGGTCTCTCTCTCTATGACACTAATAATGTGTGTTTCTGCCTCTAGGGGGCGACAGGTCCCTCTGGTCCCATGGGAGCTCCTGGACCAATGGTGAGTCTCCTCCTGAACATGTGAGAGACCCTCCTCTGGGGTCTCTAACCTCTGTCTCTGGGGTCTCTAACCTCTGCCTCTGGGGGTCTCTAACCTCTGCCTCTGGGGTCTCTAACCTCTGTCTCTGGGGTCTCTAACCTCTGCCTCTGGGGGTCTCTAACCTCTGCCTCTGGGGGTCTCTAACCTCTGCCTCTGGGGTCTCTAACCTCTGCCTCTGGGGGTCTCTAACCTCTGCCTCTGGGGGTCTCTAACCTCTGTCTCTGGGGGTCTCTAACCTCTGTCTCTGGGGTCTCTAACCTCTGCCTCTGGGGTCTCTAACCTCTGCCTCTGGGGTCTCTAACCTCTGCCTCTGGGGTCTCTAACCTCTGCCTCTGGGGGTCTCTAACCTCTGCCTCTGGGGTCTCTAACCTCTGCCTCTGGGGTCTCTACCTCTGGGGGTCTCTAACCTCTGTCTCTGGGGTCTCTAACCTCTGTCTCTGGGGTCTCTAACCTCTGCTCTGGGTCTCTAACCTCTGCCTCTGGGGTCTCTAACCTCTGCCTCTGGGTCTCTAACCTCTGCCTCTGGGGGTCTCTAACCTCTGCCTCTGGGGTCTCTAACCTCTGCCTCTGGGGGTCTCTAACCTCTGCCTCTGGGGGTCTCTAACCTCTGTCTCTGGGGGTCTCTAACCTCTGTCTCTGGGGTCTCTAACCTCTGCCTCTGGGGTCTCTGGGGGTCTCTAACTTCTGCCTCTGGGGGTCTCTAACCTCTGTCTCTGGGGGTCTCTAACCTCTGCCTCTGGGGGTCTCTAACCTCTGCCTCTGGGGGTCTCTAACCTCTGCCTCTGGGGGTCTCTAACCTCTGTCTCTGGGGGTCTCTAACCTCTGCCTCTGGGGGTCTCTAACCTCTGCCTCTGGGGGTCTCTAACCTCTGCCTCTGGGGTCTCTAACCTCTGCCTCTGGGGGTCTCTAACCTCTGCCTCTGGGGTCTCTAACCTCTGCCTCTGGGGTCTCTAACCTCTGTCTCTGGGGTCTCTAACCTCTGCCTCTGGGGGTCTCTAACCTCTGCCTCTGGGGTCTCTAACCTCTGCCTCTGGGGTCTCTAACCTCTGTCTCTGGGGGTCTCTAACCTCTGCCTCTGGGGGTCTCTAACCTCTGTCTCTGGGGTCTCTAACCTCTGCCTCTGGGGGTCTCTAACCTCTGTCTCTGGGGGTCCATTTTGGATTAGGACCTTTTTAGATCAATAAACTTGATTATTTGTTGCTTCTGAATCCATTTGTGAGCAATTATAGACTGTTGTTAACTTATAATACAACACTGACATTTCTTAAATACATTGGATGGACAATGCTAACCTGCTAGCTTATTGCAGCCCAATAGAGAAGTGCTCATGGATGAAGTTTTGCTCCATCTCTCTCTGACTTCCATGTCACTAGCACCATTCTGTTAAAGGCAAAACAATGAAGCTAAATCGTACTGATGCCAAACTATACTGTACTGTACCATGTGTGAATGACCGTGTGCTGGTGTTTAGGGCCCCGCTGGTATGCCAGGAGAGAGAGGCCGCCCAGGACCAGGTGGAGTCCAGGTAACGCTCCTTTAACCAGTATTATTACTCTGTCGTGTTTGATGGTTTTCAGAAAGACTTAATGTTTGTTTCTCATCTTTAGGGAAAACGTGGTCCGTCTGGAAACATGGGGAAGTCTGGACCAATGGTGAGACCTGCGGCTGTGTCGTCCACAGACCTGCGGCTGTGTTTAGACCCATCCATGCTGTCCACAGACCTGCGCTGTGTTTAGACCCATCCATGCTGTCCACAGACCTGCGGCTGTGTTTAGACCCATCCATGCTGTCCACAGACCTGCGGCTGTGTTTAGACCCATCCATGCTGTCCACAGACCTGCGGCTGTGTTTAGACCCATCATGCTGTCCACAGACCTGCGGCTGTGTTTAGACCCATACATGCTGTCCACAGGTAACCTGCGGCTGTGTTTAGACCCATCCATGCTGTCCACAGACCTGCAGCTGTGTTTAGACCCATCCGTGCTGTCCACAGACCTGCGGCTGTGTTTAGACCCATCCATGCTGTCCACAGACCTGCGGCTGTGTTTAGACCCATCCATGCTGTCCACAGACCTGCGGCTGTGTTTAGACCCATCCATGCTGTCCACAGACCTGCGGCTGTGTTTAGACCCATCCATGCTGTCCACAGACCTGCAGCTGTGTTTAGACCCATCCATGCTGTCCACAGACCTGCGGCTGTGTTTAGACCCATCCATGCTGTCCACAGACCTGCGGCTGTGTTTAGACACTGTCGATCATGGTATCCTCATTCAGAGACTTGAGGACTGGGTTGGTGTTTCTGGAACAGCCCTAAGCTGGTTTATATCCTACCTACAGGACAGAAAGTATTTTGTGGAGATCGGAAACTGTGTCTCAGACCATCTGGCCCTGACCTGCGGAGTGCCACAGGGCTCAATCCTGGGGCCTCTCCTGTTTAATATTTACATGCTGCCTCTGGGTAGGTTAATACACAGTAATAACGTGTCCTATCACAATTATGCTGACGATACTCAGGTCTATGTGTCCCTGACAGCAGGAGAACATGGACCAGTGGACTCGCTCCTTCACTGTATCCAACAGATCAGTGATTGGATGCAAAATAACTTTCTCCAGCTAAACACAGAAAAAACTGAAATTATTGTTTTCGGACCTCAGAAACAAAGAGAGAGCGTTATCTGCCACCTCCAGTCTCTCTCCCTGAAACCCTCAACTCAGGTCAGAAATCTAGGAGTAATAATGGGACTCAGACTTGAATTTCAATAGCCACATATCATCTGTGACATCATCAGCTTACTTCCACCTAAGAAACATTGCTAAAATTAAAAACATTGTGTCTAAAGCAGACTTGGAGATTCTTATCCACGCATTTGTCTCCAGTCGATTGGACTACTGCAATGGCTTGTTCACAGGTCTCTCTAAACAAGCGGTAAAACAGCTGCAGTACATCCAAAATGCTGCAGCTCGAGTCCTGACTAGAACCAGGAAGTACGACCACATTAGTTCAGTTCTCAGGTCTCTGCACTGGCTTCCTGTGGCTCAGAGAATAGATTTTAAAGTAGCTTTACTTGTGTACAAGTCTCTCCATGGCCTCGCACCAGGGTACATCCGCGACATGTTGGTGCCATATGAACCAACTCGGGCTCTGAGGAGCACAGGGACTGGACTTCTGTTAGTGCCAAGAGTCGGAACTAGACATGGGGAGGCTGCGTTTCAGATTCATGCAGCTAGAGTCTGGAACCGTCTTCCCGAGAGTGTGAGACAGGCGTCTACTCTAGCAGTTTTTAAAACTGAACTGAAAACAGTTCTTTTTAGCTGTGCATACAAGTGAATGATTTTATATTTGTTTTTATCTTTAATCTTTTTAATGCGCTATGATTATTTATGATTATTTATGATTGTAATCCCTTGTGTGATTTTAATGTTTTACGGTTTTTAACTACTTGTGTGATTTTATATATCTTGTGCTCTTAATCTGTCTTTTTATGTTTACTTAAATTCTAATGTTTGATGATTTATGCATGATGTTATATGGGTTGTGAGGCGCTTTGCGTTGCCTTGTGTAGGAAAGGCGCTCTATAAATAAACGTTGATTGATTGATTGATTGATTAGACCCATCCATGCTGTCCACAGACCTGCGGCTGTGTTTAGACCCATCCATGCTGTCCACAGACCTGCAGCTGTGTTTAGACCCATCCATGCTGTCCACAGACCTGCAGCTGTGTTTAGACCCATACATGCTGTCCACAGACCTGCGGCTGTGTTTAGACCCATACATGCTGTCCACAGACCTGCGGCTGTGTTTAGACCCATCCGTGCTGTCCACAGACCTGCGGCTGTGTTTAGATCCATCCATGCTGTCCACAGACCTGCGGCTGTGTTTAGACCCATCCATGCTGTCCACAGACCTGCGGCTGTGTTTAGATCCATCCATGCTGTCCACAGACCTGCGGCTGTGTTTAGATCCATCCATGCTGTCCACAGACCTGCGGCTGTGTTTAGATCCATCCATGCTGTCCACAGACCTGCGGCTGTGTTTAGACCCATCCGTGCTGTCCACAGACCTGCGGCTGTGTTTAGACCCATCCGTGCTGAGACCAGGAGCAGTCACAAACTTGTAGCTCCGCCCCTTCTGTTGGAAAGCTCCTTTCTCAGTTCTGTAACAGTCATTGTACCACTATGACATCTAGTCTATATCTCTGATCTCCCTGGTGTTTCTCTCTGGTCTCTCTCTGGTCTGTCTCTCTGGTCTCCCTCCGGTCTCTCTCTGGTCTGTCTCTCTGGTCTCTCTCTGGTCTCTCTCTGGTCTCTCTCTGGTCTCTCTCTGGTCTCTCTCTGGTCTCTCTCTGGTCTCTCTCTCTCTGGTCTTTCTCTGGTCTCTCTCTGGTTTCCTCTGGTCTCTCTCTGGTCTCTCTCTGGTCTCTCTGGTCTCTCTCTGGTCTCTCTCTGGTCTCTCTCTGGTCTGTCTCTCTGGTCTCCCTCCGGTCTCTCTCTGGTCTGTCTCGCTGGTCTCTCTCTGGTCTCTCTCTCTGGTCTCTCTCTGGTCTCTCTCTGGTCTCTCTCTGGTCTCTCTCTGGTCTCTCTCTGATCTCTCTCTGGTCTCTCTCTGGTCTGTCTCTCTGGTCTCCCTCCGGTCTCTCTCTGGTCTGTCTCTCTGGTCTCTCTCTCTGGTCTCTCTCCGGTCTCTCTCTGGTCTGTCTCTCTGGTCTCTCTCTCTGGTCTCTCTCTGGTCTCTCTCTGGTCTCTCTCTCTGGTCTCTCTCTGGTCTCTCTCTCTGGTCTGTCTCTCTGGTCTCTCTCTGGTCTCTCTCTGGTCTCTCTCTGGTCTCTCTCCGGTCTCTCTCTGGTCTGTCTCTCTGGTCTCTCTCTGGTCTCTCTCTGGTCCCTCTCTGGTCTCTCTCTGGTCCCTCTCTGGTCTCTCTCTCTGGTCTCTCTCTGGTCTTTCTCTGGTCTCTCTCTGGTCCCTCTCTGGTCTCTCTCTGGTCTCTCTAGTCCTAGTTAGTAATAGTAAAACTCCACATGGTTTTGCCCTGATCATTTCCATGGACAAAACCATGTGGAGTTTTAATTATTTATGAATGGTTGTAAACAAATAAAGCAAAAATGTCTTCACATGTTGTTTTATTTCCTCAGGGTCCACTGGGTATGAACGGCCCTCCTGGTTACCCTGGCAACCCAGGCATGAAGGCAAGTCACACATACAAGATCTTCCCTTTCCCATATGGTTCTGTGTCTTTATGGTTGTGTGTCTTTATGGTTTAAATGTAAATACATGTTTTGTGTTTCAGGGACAACCAGGCCCCACCGGAGTGCGGGGTCCTGAAGGTCCCCAGGGACAGAGAGGAGAGACCGGACACCAGGGCCGAGCTGGACCCACGGGACTCACGGTGAATCTACTACCATGGGTTTAGACTCTCTCTCTCTGGTCTCTCTCTGGTCTCTCTCTGGTCTCTCTCTGGTCTCTCTCTAGTCTCTCTCTGGTCTCTCTCTCTCTGCTCTCTCTTTGGTCTCTCTCTAGTCTCTTTCTGGTCTCTCTCTGGTCTCTCTCTGGTCTCTCTTTGGTCTCTCTTTGCTCTCTCTCTGCTCTCTCTCTGGTCTCTCTCTGGTGTCTCTTTGGTCTCTCTTTGCTCTCTCTCTGGTCTCTCTCTGGTCTCTCTCTCTGGTCTCTCTCTGGTCTCTCTCTGGTCTCTCTCTGGTCTCTCTCTCTGGTCTCTCTTTGGTCTCTCTTTGCTCTCTCTCTGGTCTCTCTCTGGTCTCTCTCTGGTCTCTCTTTGGTCTCTCTTTGCTCTCTCTCTGGTCTCTCTCTGGTCTCTCTTTGGTCTCTCTTTGCTCTCTCTCTGGTCTCTCTCTGGTCTCTCTCTCTGGTCTCTCTCTGGTCTCTCTCTGGTCTCTCTCTGGTCTCTCTCTCTGGTCTCTCTTTGGTCTCTCTTTGCTCTCTCTCTGGTCTCTCTTTGCTCTCTCTCTGGTCTCTCTCTCTGGTCTCTCTCTGGTCTCTCTTTGCTCTCTCTTTGGTCACTCTCTGGTCTCTCTTTTTGGTCTCTCTCTGGTCTCTCTCTGGTCTCTCTTTGCTCTCTCTCTGGTCTCTCTCTGGTCTCTCTCTCTGGTCTCTCTCTGGTCTCTCTCTTGTCTCTCTCTGGGCTCTCTCTGGTCTGTTTCTGGTCTCTCTCTCTGGTCTCTCTCTGGGCTCTCTCTGGTCTCTCTCTGGTCTCTCTCTCTGGTCTCTCTCTGGTCTCTCTCTCTGGTCTCTCTCTGGTCTCTCTCTGGGCTCTCTCTGGTCTCTCTCTGGTCTCTCT